GAAACACAGCAGCGTTAAGCTGCTATTTACGCTGGCATTCTGTGAGAGCGTGATCCTACCCCGGTCGACAACAAGTATACTACTAATATAACTGCAGCATGGCTCTACCACGTAAAAAAAATCAGCTACAGTAATTTATTACACTTATCATTAGGTGGACTATGAGTTTGTTTATATTTTTAGTTTTATAAGAAAAACTAGATGCGATGGCTTGTTAAAGCATGCAGGGAGTCGATGGATACTGGTGGTTTAAGATAGTGCTTTAAATCGTTTATATATATATATATATATATATATATATATATATATATATATATATTACCCCATGGAAGAATTTCCTGTAACAATATAATAACCTGTGTGAGGCCTTGACCTCCTTAGGCGAACAGCAGCGGCCGAGTTCCAGGCTGCCCCAAAACGCTGCATCGCTCCAGCAGGCTCCACCGCTGGACCTTTTCTTTCTTCCTTGTCACTATTTCAGTCTATTAGCTTCATTGTACATTTAACTAACTTAAACTCGCCTAATTCCACATTCATCGTAGAATCGAACACGTGATACCCGACACAGTAACGGACAATAGTTCAAAGTTCAACATTCAATGTCCCAGATTCACTTAGCACAAAATTATAAAGAGGGAATTAAAGCGATCTCTTAATGAGTCATACTACTCAGCGTTAAACACGATTATAATGATTTCCTGATGATCAACCGGGAGAAGCTCTCGAACAAGGAATGCGCGGTTCGAACCCTAGACCGTATATCTACTCGACGCGCGCGTGCACAATTCCGCATCCCCGAACAAGTTAAATATTGCCAAATTCACATATCCACGTAAGGAAGTAACACGCACTTAATCTAATTATCTGGACCCGACAACGGTCGCGTGAACTTCCGCCGCGGTCACGAGCTACGCGGGTTCCCCTCATCGCGGCTAGTGGGCAACTCGCTGGTCCTCGCTCACGCGTCGAGCTACACGAGCCGCACACCGCCGCCCCACCTGGCGGCGTTTTTTCACCTACATACTATCGGGTGACGCGACAGCTCGAACGCAATTGGACGGTGTTCAACATGACCAAATTTAGGCATAAACAATATATATATATATATATATATATATATATATATATATATATATATATCCACCATATATATGCCACCCGGTTACGAGACGGCAGATCGAAGACTCCGAGTCACCGAACAGTCGTCGGAGTGTAAGGATACGTGCTATGCTACTACGGGGGGAGTAATAGGGAACCGATCGTAATCGCGTCTTTGCTGCGGATTGCCACTCGTTCGTAATTTTTAATTTAAAAAACGTTATATACTTAAATAAATTTCAACGCAAAAACTCATTGCTAAGCCACTGCGCCAAAGAGCTCACGACGTATTTAATAGAGTAGTTAACTTAGGCGTTATGTGGTCAGTTGAGACTAATATGTTCTGATTTATGACATTCTCGATGGTCAAATAAAACATCGTGAGGAAACCTGCATGAGTGGGAAATAAAAAATATTTCGAAGAGGTGTCCTCTTACACACCGTAAACGTGGTAGAGCCATGCTGTAACTATATTATAGTAACACGAATGGGTCGGCTCGGCCGAGGAAGGACCACGCTCTCACAGAATATTAGCGTAAAATAGCAGCTTAACACTGCTGTGTTTCGTATTGTGAGTCTAGAGAACTGGGGACAATTTTTACTAGTAACGGGGCATTCCATCTTAGTCCTCAGGGTTAGTACATATTCTGTGCCCTTACTGCTACCAAAATACAGAACCACTAAAATACCACTTCAATTACGTAACACGCAACTCTAACACGATCTTAATTAACTGGTTACTTACGTTAGTAATAAGTGTTTAATTGAAAAGCTGTGTAGCGTTATGAATTGCACGAAAATCTTTAATTAACGCGGAGTTTTAGCACTCATTACCGTTAACGCCGATTTATAGTAGTGGCCTGTTTCCTTAGAAACAGTATTAAACTAAAAAAAGAGAAAGTCTGTGGTTATTCACACAAATAACAAAAATAATTATCTTGTCTATGATAATTAACATTTTAAACCGATTTCAAAAACGGAGGAGGTTCACAATTCGACTTTATTTTTTTATGTGTTTTTTTTTATATCAAAGCTGGTGCTTCTCATGTGGTTCCATATAAATTTGATCAAGATCTGATTAGTAGTTTTTCCTACAAGGCATATATAATAATATATGGTATAAGGAAATATAAGACATCGGTTCTGGTTTTTTCAACCGACTTCAAAAAATGAGGAGGTTCTTAATTCGACTGTATTTTTCATGTCTGTTACCTCAGAACTTTTTTCTAGGTTAAAAAATTTTATAAATAAATAAATAAATAAATAAAAAATAAAATTGATTTATTTCAGACTTTTGTCCATAATATTGTTAGTAGCATAAAAAAGAGATCTTAAAAACTAGGTTAGTAACATTTCTATTAGAAAATATTTATTTTAATTTAAATATCTGCCTGCACTTCGCGACACAACATGTGTGTGAGCGTACACCCAGTGCCGAAGTATCGGCCAGTCAGGCTTTTCACTGATTACTTTGAGAATGGTGTTGGCGCTCCCCAACTTTTTGATGATTCTTTTTTTATTTGAGAGCTGGTGCTCCTCATGTGGTCCCATATTTGATGATCAAGATCTGACCAGTAGTTACTGACTTATCCTTAATAATGCGTATTTAATTGACTTCGACTATATTGATGACGCTCTCATTTTATTTATATTAAAGTCGGTTGTACAAAGATTTTAATTTTACCACGTGCTATTTATTTATTTATTTATAAGGAATAGGTATTACATAACACAATCTATGCTCTCTGAACCCTGTACTAGGTAAGCCTGTCTTACGGGGTTCCTGGGTTAATTTTACTACTTGTTATCTTAATAGCAAATCATCAATGGACTCGAAGTCAATTAAATACGCATTATTAAAGATAAGTCAGTAACTACTGGTCAGATCTTGATCAAATATGGGACCACATGAGGAGCACCAGCTTTCAAATAAAAAAAGAATCATCAAAATTGGTTTACCTAGAAAAAAGTTTTTTTACGTGGTAGAGCCATGCTGCAACTATATTAGTAGTATAGTTGTAGCACGAATGGGTCGGCTCGACCGGGGAAGGACCACGCTCTCACAGAATACCAGCGTAAAATAGCAGCTCAATGCTGCTGTGTTTCGTATGGTGAGTGTAGAGAACCGGAGACCCTTTTTACTGGAAAAGAGGCATTCCATCTTAGTCCTCACGGGTGACAACGCATCTACATTTTGATTCGCAACGAGGATAGATGTAGATGTCTATGGGCCGCAGCAACCACTCACCATCAGGTGGACTGTGTGCTCGTTTGTCACCCGATCCTATAAAAAAAAGTTCTGAGGTAACACACATAAGAAATACAGTAGATTTTAGAACCTCCTCCTATTTTTGTAGTCGATTGAATAAAGAGCCGATAACTTTGTTTTTATTGGATGGTAAGTGGTTGATGTGGCCCATAGACATCTACATTTATCCTCGATTACGAATCAAAATGCAGATGCGATGTCACCCGTGAGGACTATGATGGAATGCCTCGGTTTCCAGTAAAAAGGGTCTCCGGTTCTCTACACTCACCATACGAAACACAGCAGCATCAAGCTGCTATTTTACGCTGTTATTCTGTGAGAGCGTGGTCCTTCCCCGGATTCGTGTTACAACTATACCAGAAATATAGCTGCAGCATGACCACGTAGAAAGTCCACTTATATTTCTTAGTACCATATATCTTTATATATAAAAATTACGCGCCACGTTGTTTGTCCGCAATGGACTCCTAAACTACTGAACTGATTTCAATAAAATTTTGCACACTGCATTCAGTTTGGTCCAACTTGAGAGATAGCATAGTTTTTATCCCGATAAATGACCCTCAATATTTTTTATTACCAATTTAAGGATTTTTTATAGGACAAACGGTCGTCGGAGAGGGCTGAACAACGTCTGCCTGGCGAGATAGTTATTATATGTATATGCTTTGTAGGAATTCAATCGCTCTTCTGTTCACGCTTTGGTTGTCAATTATAGGGAGAAAAGTTTCTACTTTGAATTACTCTTCACCATTTATTTGTACTGATGGTGAAGAACCATCAAAGATGTCTACCTGTCTGTACCTCTTTTTCTTTAGGATAAGTCCCTGTAGTCAGATTGGATTTTTCTTTTTGGCAGACTTCTTTTTGCACACAACAGTCGCGATCCACTCATCTTAAATCTTTCCACCAGTTTTATATTGCCCTTATATAATTTAAAAAAAGTATATGATAAGTAGCATGAGGAGATTTCTATTAATACTTCTGACGTAGTTATAATATTATTTATTTCGGTTATTATTTAAAAAAATTGTTTGAAAATAATTTCACTTGGACGTCAGTTGGTCGGTATGTTTTGATTTCACTTTGATTTGTTCACTTAGACTTTTTTATATTAGCTTTAGATTTTAATCCTTAGGAAGCTTTTTGAATTTCACTATTATAAACCGTCTTAATCGAGGTGTTCACTTTTAAATTTTCCAAATTTATTTTTATATGTTTATAAATGTAGATACAGATGTCTATATATGCCCGGGGGGTAATTTTATATATCAGAATGAATCAACACTAAATCATCACTCTAGAAATCAGTGTTGTGATTTCACCTTTAACTGAATGATGACCTTTTCTGGTACGACTCATCACTTCATGAAATTATATTTAAAAAAATCACGTATTTTTGAGTTCATTCATCATTCATAGTGATAAAAATAGCCCTCCCCATAAATTGCCTTTTAGGCAATAATATTGCCATATTTACCAAGTTTCGCACGCGGATAGACAACCACAGTTTTTTTTAATGTTAATAACCCCTGAGCTACCAGCTTTAATTTATAAAAAAAATACATTTTTTATTTAAATTTTTTATTTATAATAACGTTATAAATAGAATACATAATATTTCAATTTCCAGTGTCGCACACGACTGACGACCTGATTTTCCAATGGGATCCAGACGTACCACTGGTGGTGGACGAGAACATCGAGTTACCGCAGCTGGAGCTTGTGCAGAACAGAACCGCTGACTGCACCCAGGTGTACTCAACCGGTATGCCAAAGGCAAATTAAAAATATTTTATCCGTCGTCATCATCTTTATGTCTGTTCAAAGTCCACTTCTGAACATTGTCCCCCCCCCCCCTCCCCACCCAAGGCAATTATGGCTAATATGTATACCTCTACGACCTGATAAGATATGCAGAAAGTCGACGGAGGCAGGTGGCTAAGGACCGTTTTTTGTGTCCTTCCTTGTAAAGGACTTAAATCATGACGATGGTGATGATGATACTTGCATATTTGCCATAATTGTCAAGCATCGCAGACAGGTTGACTGACAGCCGCAGTTTCTTCATTATTTAGAGTTACCAGGACGTTGCTGCCGCCTATCTCCTGCTTCAGATTCCCTCTGTCGCCTCTAATGACAATATCAGGGTAATATCGGTTAGTAGAATCATTTACCGTCCCTACTCGGCCCAGTTGTTCAGTTTAAGCTAATGTAGACAGTACGTGGTAGAGCCATGCTGCAGCTATATTAGTAGTATAGTTGTAGCACGAATGGGTCGGCTCGACCGGGGACGGACCACGCTCTCACAGAATACCAGCGTAAAATAGCAGTTTAACACTACTGTGTTTCGTGTGGTGAGTGTAGAGAACCGGAGACCCTTTTTACTGGAAAACCGGCATTTCATCTTAGTCCTCACGGCTGACAACGCATATGCATTTTGATTCGCAAACGAGGATTGGATGTTTATGGCCCACAACAACATTTTACCATCAGGTGGACTGTGTGCTCGTTGTCATCCTATCCTATAATAAATAAAAAGCTCTCATGATTGTCAAAGTCTATCACTGGTTCTAAAAGTGAAAAGAACCGTCAAAAAACTCTTAAGGATTCGAGGATCTTGACGGTTCTTTTTACTTTTGGGTCTCTGTTTTTTTTTTCTAGTAATTTCATTCGGACAAGTGATATTATTTCAATTTTACATATAACTAGCGATCCGTTCTGGTTTCACATGGTTGATTTCTGGATTTTGACATTAGCGCCACCTACCGGGTCCAATTGTGAATCCTAAACCATCCAGGGTCACTTTTCCCCAACCAACCCAAGCCAAACGCACACGAAAACGTACGAGCTGTTTTCGAATTTTAGAGAATTTTATCAATTACAGGCAGCAATTGATTTTTATATATAAGTAGATAATAATAACGACTGTGTAGTCAGTGGCGGTGTAAAAGTTTCTGCTACCCCAAATCGTCACGTGGGTGTCGTTAGAGCCGACAGAGGGAAACTGAAATACGAGATGGGCAGTTCCATTTGGATACTATTTCCCGCCATTACACGGTGAAATTTTGCAATAAATTTATTTTAAAGGAGTGTATGACTATCACTATCAGCCCGACTAGCATGGGCGGGGGACAAAAATTTTATCCCCCGATTATATCCACTGACAGGAGATAAAATTATCTTGTTATTACAAACGGGGAGAAGTATATCCCCGTTTGACATAACGAGTAGACATATATCCCCCGTCCGTAGCATGGAGCCAAATGAAAGATAAAATATTATGCTTTTTTGACATTTGAAAGGGACAATTTTATCCTAGTTCATTGGACGTGGTTTAAGTTTATATTCATACAAAAAAATCTATCTAAGTCGTAAGTTTATCTCCCAATTTATCTACTGTGGATATTATATCCACCGGTACGCCCATGCTCGAAGGGTGGATATAACTCAGTGAGGGGATAAACATTTTCTCCTTTCCCCGGGGATAAAATTGTCCCTCGCCCATGCTAGCCGGGCTGTTGCAGCCCTTGAAAATTTTTCTACAGATAACGTATATCTTTGCCAAACATACTGAACTGCGTCAAGCGGGATTGAGGGCACCCAATATATTTTAGTGTTGTCATTTAAACACCTTAAATCCGGATAATCCAGCTTTAATCCATAAAAGGATAAGCATTATCTCTTTTCGCGACTTTAGACGCTGTAATAGCCTATTAGTTTGATGGCAATGTTTAAACAAGGCTTGTTTGCGGTCTGAATACTATGTAAACTACGATTAACGGACAGTTTGCATTGTTAATACCTGGCCGTTCTAATTTTTCGATGGCCTTAATTAACGTGATAGAGTTAATAAACAATTTTTTGCGAAACTAATTGAGCTATGCTAGATTTTATTTGGATGGCCCATTGCCAAAACGTTCTTGATTGGTTACCCCCCCCCCCCCCCCCCCCCACCACTAAACCTCTCCCTGCCAGCAATCGTGTCGTGCTGTGAATCGGCCTGGAGGGCCGTAGCCACCTTCTATGAATCAGTTATGATCCAGAAGGAGTCTGCTGAGCGGGATCGGCAGAAGGTGGATCCCGTGATTTGGGCCTCAGAACTTTAAAGATATTAATAATATTACAACGTATTTGGGAGGCCTATTTTCAGCAGTGGACTTCGTGAAGTTATAGTGATAGTGGGTGATAGATTAAATTTGTGAATTTCTTTCACATTCTTTCTTTTTTTCATTCTTTTTTTCTCTTTTAAAAACATTACGTCCACACTAGGCTTTTCTCCTGTACCGCGGGGGTTTACATACACATATTTCACAAGGACAAACATCTAGACCCAGAACAATTAATTGTAGGTCATACAAATACGTGTTCCGTGCGAGATTCGAACCGGCGGGCCTTAGCGTTGCAACTCATTGCTAAATCACTGCGCCACGGAGCCGTCATATTCAACTTCCCATCCGAAAGTAAATAAATGGTTTGATTTATAGAACTCTACAAGTTTTGAGAACCCTCGAGTCAGATTTTATTATTATTAAAAGAATACCTGAATGTGTATCTATGTATAAAGAAGTTTACCAATGATCTCCACCCCCACTTTCATCTATTTGACTTTTTACATTCGTTAAAACTAATAGAAAACTGTTTCTATTAGTCTAAATCTTAATGAAGTTACGGTGGAAGAGAGACGGCTATCTCATATCATCCCGTGGTTGTCGAAAGAGACGACAAAGTGAAATGAATGTGGAGATGATCAGCAGATAATAACACAAAATATTTAAAAAAACTGCGGCCACTAACCCGGCTGCAAAGCGTTTTTATAAAGAATAAGTTTAACAAATGATCACACAACCCACGTAGTGATAAGTAGGTGCTGTGGCCCATTGACATCTACATTTATCCATTTAAGAATCAAAATGCAATTGTTGTCACCCCCGAGGACTAAAATGGAATGACTAGTTACTAGTAATAAGAGTCTTTGGTTCTCTACACTCACCATATGAATCACAGTAGCATCAAGCTGCTATTTTACGCTGGTAATCTGTGCTACAACTATAATATAACTGCAGTGTGGCTTTGTCTACCTAACCACCTACCTCTAGTAAATTATTAGCTCCATCATCATCAACCTAGGAATATCACTGACTTCAGTTAATAATAGTGATCACGAAATTGGCGACCATGGTAACGGCGGGGCAAGGGGTGCTAAGAATCACCGGTGGAGGTTCGGTTACCACCAAAGACGACTGGAACAGGCAACGTACAACGCACGCACCCTGTGGACTGACGAGAAGATCCTGGAGCTGTCAGAAGAGATAGACAAGTTACGCTGGCATATTATAGGATTATCTGGGGTCCGAAGAGAGGGGGAGGACAGGGTAATCCTCGAATCCGGTAACTTGTTCTATCACCGAGAGGGCGAACTTCTGTCCCAAGAAGGTGTCGGATTTATCGTCCACAAGTCTCGCTTTAAAAACGTAGTAAAGTGAGTTGACGAGGATTGCGTACCTTACACTCAGGATCACCAAACGGTATTCGTTGAAGATCATACAGGTTTATGCACCAACCTCGCCACATCCTGATGAGGAGGTGGAGGAAATGTATGAGGATATTTCTAAAGCCATGCATTCCTCCAAAACTCACTATATGTTGTTAATGGGAGACTTCAATGCAAAACTAAGCACAAGAGAGAACGGCGAGCTGAGGTTAGGGAATTTGGGTATAGGGCAACGGAACTCAAAGGGCCAGCAGCTGGCCGACTTCGTGGAGAAAGAGGGACTCTTTATGATGAACTCTTTTTTCTAGAAGCATCCCCACAAGCAGTGGACCTGGTCAAACCCCGACGGTTTGACAAAAAATGAGATTGACTTCATTATGACGACTAGGCGGCAACTGTTCAGTGATGTCTCAGTGGTTGCGAGGGTGAAAACCGGCTGCGATCACCGAATGGTGAGAGGCACACTGAACCTAAACGTTAAGTTGGAGAGGTGTCGTCTAATGAAGTCAATGTTCCTTCCCCCTCATGCTCTGATCCAGAGTCCCGAAACCGATCCTCTCCAGTTACAAAACCGTTTTCAGTGCCTAGAAGATTGCAATGCAGTGGACGATATCAATGACAAGCTCGTGGAAACTGGTCATGTGGTCTGAGCTAAATTTTGCAAGACTCGCCGCAAAAGAACGCAATATCTCTTCGGTCTTAATCTCATGGTTGTTAGATGCGAAATGAAGCTGCAGACTTCAGTGGATTTGACAACATACAGGCAGTGGTAGAGCCACGCGGCAGCTTTTGCTGTCGCACGGATGGGCCGGCTCGAACCGGGGTGGTACCACGACCTCACAGAAAACCAGCGTGAAGTAGAGGTTTACGTCTGCGTTTCGCTTGGTGAGTGCAGGTGGCCGGAGGCCCTTTTTACTGGAAATGAGGCATTCCATCTTAGTCCTCACGGGTGACAACGCATCTACATTTTGATTTGTAACAGAGGATAGATGTAGATGTCTATGGGCCGCAGCAACCACTTACCATCAGGTGGACTGTGTGCTCGTTTGTCACCCTTATCCTATAAAAAAAAGGCAACTGAACAGACAGATCTCCAAATGCATGCGGCGTGACTTACATAACTTTAATACTGCTCGTATTGAAGAAGCGATCGAGCGGAAACAGGGTTCCAAAGTCTTTGCCAGAGATCTTGTCTACCAGAATGAGCCAACAGTCGAAGCTGAAGACCGAATGTGTCAGTCTGAGCGAGATTAGAATGGCTATCCAGCATCTTAAAAACGGCAAGTCCCCGGGCGAGGATGAAATTACAGCGGAGCTTCTACAAGCGGTTGGAAAAATGGTACTTGAAGTCCTTCAGAAGCTCTTTAATTCCGTCCTCCATGGTGGCACTACTCCGGAGGCATGGAGGAGAAGTGCAGTGGTCTTGTTCTTCAAGAAGGGCGACAAGCTCTCTTGAAGAACTACAGACCGAATTCCCTTCTGAGCCGCGTCATGATGTGCTGTTTTCGAGAGCCATTACGAATCGTCTCGCACGCAGACTCGACGGCTTCCAGCTTCCCGAATAAGCTGGTTTCCGAAAAAGCTTTAGCGCCTTAGAACACATATATACCCTTCGGAAAATTGTACAGAAGACGGAGAAGTACAATTTCCCACTATGTCTTGCGTATGTGGACTATGAGAAAGCCTATGATTCCGGCGAAATTTGGGCAGTGCTGCAGTCCCTTTAGTGGTGTCAAGTTGACTGTCGGTATATCTAAGTGCTGAAGTGTTTGTACAGTAGGGCTACGATGACTACTCTCCGAATACAGAACCCAGAGTACGAAACCTATCCAACTGCAGAGAGGTGTAAAACAGGGTGACATTATATCCCCGAAACTCTTCACCGCTGTGTTGGAAGACGTTTCCATGCTACTAAACTGGAAAGGATACGGTATTTACATCAATTGCGATTACATCACTCACCTTCGATTTGCCGACGATATAGTCCTTATGGCAGAATCGCTGGAGAACCTAAACACTATGCTCAATGACCTCAATAGTGCCTCCCTACGGATAGGTCTTAAGACGAACATGGACAAAACAAAGATGTTTAACGTTAAAAAGATGTATAACGTCCATGTCACGCCTATGCCAGTAGTGTAGTAGTAGTAGGGAGCACTAAGCTCGAAGTTGTTGACGAGTATGTTTACCTGGGACAAACAGTCGGACAATGTAAGCAACTTCGACCGCGATTCGATGGATTCAACTTATGCTGAGCAGCATTCGGGAAATTACGACACATCTTCTCGTCAGGTATACTTCAAAACTTGAAAACTAGACTGTACCAGTGCGTGTTTCCAGTGATGACTTATGGATCTGAGACGTGGTCTTGCACTGCTGGCCGTATGAGAATGCTCAAGGTCGCTCAGTGAGCTATGGAGAGGGCTATGCTCGGGGTTTCTCTGCATGATAAACTTAGAAATAACGATATCTGCAGTAATACCAGAGTGACCGACATAGCCCAACGGATTAGTTAGCTGAAGTGGCAATGGGCCGGCCATATAGTTCGAAGAACCGATAACCGATGGGGAAAAGGTTTTCGAGTGGCAGCCTCGTACCGGTAGGCGAAGTTCGGGGCGACCACCGACTAGATGGAGTGACGACCTGGTAAGACATACAGAATGTAGATGGATGCAGGTGGCTCAGGACCGTGCTTTGTGGCATTCCTTGGGGGAAGCCTTTGTTCAGCAGTGGACTTGTGAAAGGCTGTAATGATAATGATGATGATGTATGAGCAAACACAGGTGCACTGCACTCTCCATTCCTTCACTCTCATAATTCGATGGGATAGCTATGTAACACGACCGGAGATCCAGGACCAACGACTTAAGGTTGTTTCAGAGGCACATGGGTAAAACACTGCAAACTTATTGATTTCGTGCAGCTTATGAGAATTTTTTTACAGATAAAATCAGTAACTGATTTATTCAACCAGGGACTCGAACTGGGGACTGAATAACTGTCTCGTTTGTCAATGGTCGTCGTATTCACGACTGTTAATTGTGTAGTCCTTGGTTTTAACTATAATTTACTAGATAAATGGTCAATTTACTACTGCTCTTTACAGGTAACTTCACATGTCTGGAAGTGATCTTTAAGTTGAAGCGACGCCTTGGCTACCACCTCTTCAATACCTACATTCCGACCTGTCTCATAGTCATCATGTCTGTAAGTATGTTTATCTTATTCTTTACCATTCCGTTACTGTCAGCGATGTGTGATGGATTCTCTCACGAACTACGCAATATCATCATGCCGTAAGATCTGGACAAAATTATGATGAATCCTGTTTAAAACGGGTTACCAAGCGTGGCAGCTAAGACAAATATCTTCCCTATAGGGCAAATGATGGAAAAGGCCTTGGTCAGCAATGGTCTTTTGATAACGATGGTATGAGAGATCGTCGCTCCATTTAATCAAGGTCGGCAATTTCAAACGCATGACCATTATCTCAAAGCGTACATTCCGGCAGTGTTGACCACATATCACGCCGGAAGCGCGCGCCGCGCGTGACACTGGGCGTGACGTCACTGCTGACGCTGTCAGATACCCGTCCGCATGGTCCACAGCTATAACATAGTTTTCGTTCGGAATTGCCGGTGTAGTAGTTGATATAGGGAGAAGTATTTTACGTCGTAGAACCATTGTGTTGCTGTATTAAGGCTGCAGCAGGAATGAGTCGGCTCGACCGGGGTAGGACCACGCTCTCGTAGAATACCAGCGTAAAATAGCAGCTCAATGCTACTGTATTTCTTATGGTCAGTGCAAAGAAACTGAGACCCGGTTTACTGGAAACGAGACAATCCATCCAAGTCCTCAGGGGTGACAACGCATCTGCATTTTGATTCTTAATCTGTAATTCTTAAATGACGTAGGTGACCATGGGTCACAGCGCCCACTTACCATCAAGTGCACTGTGTGCTCGTTTGTCACCCTTATTCTACGGATTTTTCTGTAGATCTACGGAACTTCGTCATCATCTACGGAACTACGGAATTTGAGGTTGAAATGTACGAAATTTTGAGAAGCTTAACAAGAAAAACATTTTTTATCATAAGTGAACTTACCCGACAATATCATTCTCTCTTCTTCTATGCAGTCTGTATTTAAAAAAAACCGTTTTTGCATATAAGTATTAATTAATTCTTTGGTGAGGTTAATTGATCCCAAATTTTAAGAGCTTAAGATATTTTGCATTAAATTACGTTTAATTTCAAATTATTTATGTTATTTCCAAGAAGAGCTCGAAATTCGAAGTTAATATAAACGCCTATAAAATGTTCATAGATGATTGAATTGTCACTCATGTCTCAATTTTTTCTAATCCAGGCGGTCCCAATTTGTATAAAATTATCTTTGTTAATTTTAGTGAAGACGGTCTGTTGTTTTTCATTCACTAGATAATTATTGATACAAAACTTATCAGCATCAAGTTTGTAAAGTATTTTTTAGTATAATTATCCACTAACATTTAAGTGTTATTTTATTTGTTTTTACTAAAAATAATTTATTTAAAAGAAAACAATTAATTTTTAATCAATTTTTATGGTACTTTTTTCTTATAATATGTGCAGCTTGATTCGATTTTACACTACAACTGAACTTATAACAAGAATTTTACATGATAGACAGAATTTCTCCAAAAAATTGATCTATTCTATGACTCGCAGTTGAAAGATTTACTTAACACTTAGCGTTATATTTTAACCAATTAACACAATATCTTTATTAATTATAGCCTACGTGGTGTTCTAATGTATGAGCTATATTATTGTAAAGTTTCATTAAAATAAATTCAGTAGTTTTTGCGTGGAGGAGTAACAAACATCCATACATGCTCACAAACTTTCACGTTTATAATATTAGTAGGAAGAAAGCCTCTATCTGAAGGTGCGTGTCGGCAGTCGGCGTCGTTTTGGAGCAAGTCAGATGCTGCAAGCAAGAAGTCTTGGTACTACCCGCGAAGTCGGCGCCCGCACTATCCACAGCTATGATATAGTTTTAATTCTGAATTGCCGGCTTAGTACACATAGAAGTCTTGGTAGCCACTACTTCAAGGCTCGTGTCGGCAGTGGGTGTCGTTCTGGATCAAGCCGGACGCGGCGCCGGCGCGCGTGACGCTGGGCGTGACGTCGCTGCTGACGCTGTCCACGCAGCACGCCAAGTCGCAGGCGCAGCTGCCGCCCGTCTCTTACCTGAAGGCGGTGGACGCGTTCATGTCTGTCTGCACCGTGTAAGTCGACGAGAATTACTTTTTTTGTCACAAATAAAATAAAACCGTGTTTTTCTCAGATACTTCACGTGTGAAGAAAGATTTTCAAGTGGCAGCCTCGAACGGTGAGCGAATTGTTGAGTTAGTTGATCATCATCATCATTATAGCCTGTCAAAGTCCAACGCTGAATAGAGAATCCCTATAAATTGCCTCATAATACTATTCATATACTATGATAATGATTATGATGGTGTTCCTGGTCAATTACAGTGTAGTGTAGCCTTCACGATAACATATATTACTGTTTTTTTTAAACTGGCTTTACGGCTCTGGGTTCTAGCCCTTCTGAGCCTATATTACTGTTAAGTTAGAATAAACAGTAGTCTTATTAAATTACTAGACAGATCAACTCGCCTGGTCTTTATTAACATCTTTCAACATTACAATAGCAACGGCTCCGTCAGCCGATAATATAAGTTTTGATACACGTAATGTTTTTTAATAATAAATTTAATGGACAAGCAAAGTTACAGTCTACCTAGTCACCTGTTAACGCTTCAAGCAAAGAAGGCACATGCGTTGTTTAGGCCTTATCGGGACTTTGAAAATAAAATGAATGGACTGTATGAACAATAGGTTTAATGCCGTAAAACCTCTACACAAACATAATTATAAATTGAATAATGAAGTGCCCGTCTCCTACTGCGACTCGCAGCTAAGTGAGGAACAGAAGCGCCCGCGCTGTCGCAGGGTCAGCGATCGGTCCGCGCCCCCACGCGCCCTCCATTTTGGACGAGGCGCGATGACGTGCGCCGACATGCGTTGTTACCTTTGAGGACTAAGATGAAATGGCTCACAGTGTTATTATATTGTATTTCTATACACTTCGGATTTTAACACAGCAACGCAAGCCAAAACGGTTCTACGAGTACCAACTAATTAACCAGAAGAATTCGATTAACTACCAACCAACTAAAGTGTAATTTAGGGACTTCCAAGTCCCTAACTGTAAATTGTACACATTCAGGTTTTCGGGAGATGTTTTTTTATAGTGTGGAACATCAGTCAAAGTTAATTAATAGAATCAGGCGTTACTTTGCGGAAATCCATTATATTAATGTCGGAAAAATTTTACTTTGTCAATATCCGTTCAATATGTAAAATAAAATGATGTGTCTTACATAGTTTGAAGAGCACCTCCCGCCCTCCCTCAATTGCGTGCACTATCCCCGTCACTACTAATCCCAGCACCGCTACTCCCAAGACCACTACACTAGGCAAGACACACCACTGACGATAATACGACACGTGTTTCGCCTCTACACGATGCATCCTCAGGTGTAGTAGACTCTGCGGTAAAATTATATCAACTTTAACAATTAAAAGTTTCTGCGACAAAAAAATGTTCACGAATGGCAGCTTCATTCCGGTAAGCGAAGTGCAGAACCCCCCACTAGATGGAGTGACGATCTAGTAAGAGATTCAAGAGGTCAATGGATGCAGGTAGTTCAGGGCCGTGCTTTATGGTATTCCTTGAGAGACGCGAGTTAAGCAGTGGACTCGTGATGGGCTCAAGTTATGATGATAATGATGAAACTTCTGCGTATGATGGTGGCTTCATCCCATTTCGTCGATGGATGTCGTAAATGATGACCATGGGAAATCCCAAAAATCTTCTGAATTACGAAAGACGGCGGTATATGCCACTTCTTAACGTTAAATATCAAATGCCAAGACTGGCTGGCAGCAGCGTAAATGCTACGAGAAGTCTGGTTCTGCGGTTGTCAATTATAGCTTGTCAAGTGTGACATGAAGCTACATTCTTCAACAGACTTGACAGCATACAGGCATCTGAACAGACAGATCTCCAAATGCATGCGGCGGGACTTACGCAACTTCAATACAGATCGTATTGAAGAAGCGATCGAGCGGAACCAAGGCTCCAAAGTCTTTGCCAGAGATCTGTCTGCCAGAAAGAGCCACCTGACAAAGCTGAAGACAGAGTGTGGCAGCATAGTTTCCGGGACACCTGAGATTTTGAGTGAGATTGAGAGGTTCTATGGGCAGCTGTACACGTCATCGTTGGAACCACACGCAAGTGTGAGTAACGATCCAAGAGCGAGTCTCATCCGACACTATTCCGAAGATATCCCGGACGTCAGTCTGAGCGAGATTAGAATGACTCTCCAGCACCTTAAAAACGGTAGGGCCCCAGGCAAGGATGGAATTACAGCGGAGCTTCTGAAAGCGGGTGGAAGACCGGTACTTGAAGTCCTTCAGAAGCTCTTTAATTCCGTCCTCCATGGTGGCATTACACCGGAGGCGTGGAGCAGAAGTGTGGTGGTCTTGTTCTTCAAGAAAGGTGACAACGCTCTCTTGAAGAACTACAGACCGATTTCCCTTCTGAGCCGCGTCTACATGCTGTTTTCGAGAGTCATTACGAATCGTCTCGCGCGCAGACTTGACGACTTCCAGCCTCCCGAACGGTTTCCGAAATGGCTTTAGCACCATAGACCACATACATATCCTTCGGTAAATTGTACAGAAGTCCGAAGAGTACAATTTGCCACTATGTCTGGCGTATGTGGACTATGAGAAAGCCTTTGATTCCGTCGAAATTTGGGCGGTGCTGCAGTCCCTTCAGCGGTGCCAAGTTGACTGTCGGTATATCGAAGTGTTGAAGTGCTTGTACAGTAGGGCTACGATGGCTATCCGAGTACAGAACCAGAGTACGAAACCTATCCAATTGCAGAGAGGTGTAAGACAGGGTGACGTCATATCCCCGAAACTCTTCACCGCTGCATTGGAAGACGTTTTCAAGCTTCTGGACTGGAAAGGATACGGTATCAACATCAATGGCGAGTACATCACTCACCTTCGATTTGCCGACGATATCGTCCTTATGGCAGAATCGCTGGAGGACCTAAGCACTATGCTCAATGACCTCGATAGTGTTTCCCAACGGATAGGTCTTAAGATGAACATGGACAAAACAAAGATCATGTTCAATGTCCATGTCACACCTATGCCGGTAGTTGTTGGGAGCACTAAGCTCGAAGTTGTTGACGAGTATGTTTACCTGGGACAAATAGTCCGACTAGGTAAGTCCAACTTCGACCGAGAGGTCAATCGACGGATTCAACTCGGCTGGGCAGCGTTCGGGAAGCTACGACACATCTTCTCGTCAGACATACCTCAAAACCTGAAAACGAAATTGTACAACCAGTGCGTGTTGCCAGTGATGACTTATGGAACTGAGACGTGGTCCTTCACTACTGGCCGTATGAGGAAGCTCAAGGTCGCTCAGCGAGCTATGGAGAGGGCTATGCTCGGAGTTTCTCTGCGTGATAAACTTAGGAATGAGGATATCCGCAGTAGAACCAGAGTAACCGACATAGCCCAACGGATTAGTAAGCTGAAGTGGCAGTGGGCCGGCCATATAGCTCGAAGAACCGACAACCGATGGGGAAGAAAGGTTCTCGAGTGGCAGCCTCGTACCGGCAGGCGAAGTGTAGGGCGTCCCCCCACGAGATGGAGTGACGACCTGGTAAGACATGCAGGAAGTCGATGGATGCAGGTGGCTCAGGACCGTGCTTTGTGGCATTCTTTGGGGGAGGCCTATGTTCAGCAGTGGACTTGTGAAGGGCTGTAATGATGAAGTGTGACAATTAAGGCAAATCCTTTTTTCATCGGGGAAAACATGGGTCTTCTCCGTTGAAGAGATCACTGGACTATTATGAGCTGATGAATAAGAAGAAAGAAGGTTAAAGTGAGGCATCGTTATAATAGGACACTTCCAAGAAATGCCACAAAGTTCGGTCCTGAGCCACCTGCATCCATCGACTTCCTGCATGTCCTACCAGGTCTACACTCTATCTAGTGGGGGCCGCCCTACACTTCGCCTACTGGTACGAGAATGCCATTCAAGAACCATCGGTTATCGGTTCTTCGAGCTATGTGCTCAGCCCATTGCCACTTCAGCTTACTGATCCGTGTATATTGTCTATGTTTCTGTCTATCTTAATAATTATTAGCCCATTCAGCAGTGGACTTGTGAAGGGCAGTAATGATGCTGATGATCGTTATAATATACAGTTATCGGAATACAGGGAAAGAAGAGCGGCAGTATACTGCTGGACGAAGGTCTCTATATTAGAAATATTTTTATCTGTAATAAACCTAGCAAGCTAACAGCATAGCAAAGTGGCGAAGCAATCAGCTTTGTAGCGGTTTCTAACGGTTGCCGTTGAGCAATCAGTTTCAAAATAGGAGGTTCAGATGCCTGGGTGATCAGTAATCGATTGCTGAAAACAGAATTTGAAAATTCAAAACCGTTCTCGAGATAATCGTGGGACATACGGACAGACGGACAGACATCGTGAAATCAATAAGTGACTTCGCAAGCTTCGCCACTTAATAAGAACAATTGAGGGTATCTAAATATTCCACTCAAATATTCTAGATATTTAGCTTATTTGATGCCTACTCCGTAACTGACTAGGAAAAGAAAAGACTAGGATGATAGGGAAGGAATATTGTAAAAAAGGAAGGGATACAATGGGAATAGGGGGAGATTAAGGACGATATATATGACTGATGGTAGATCAACTACATTCGAAAGAGTAGTTGTAATGTTTTAGACCGAGAATTTTACTAGAAGAAAAAGGCTGAGGTAGTATTATGTATTGATATGCACTGACTTCAATTTTTGTTAGATTCTCGCGAAAATCTATGAGATTGCTCATTGAAATTTTAGTTGTGTGGCGGTGCTATCGTCGCGCCATAAGCGAAAGACATCGAAAAGTTGTTTACGTGGTACGTCCAAGTTTCATATTTATGATTAGAGGCCGAATGGGTCGACTGGACTAGCAAAGGACCGCATTCGCACGGAATACAAGCGAGCAATAGCAGCTTAATACTTTTGTATATCGTATGGGGAGTGACAAGTGCTGGAGACACTTTTTACTGGCAACGAGCCATTCCATCTTAGATTTCTGGGGTGACAACGCATCTGCATTTTGATTCTTGATCGAGCATAGATATACGTGTGTATAGGTTACATTCACTTACCATCAGGTGCACTGTGCTCGTTTGACAACCTTACTCCGATAAAAAAATGGACTGTTATCTCGTCGATCTATTAGGATACAAAGGGAGCATTCCGATACATGGTTTATTAGTTATAGATATGCTGTTAAGGAAAAATTTCATGTAATTAGACAAGCGAGTTGGGAATGTGAAGTAGAAGATCTTTGGGTGACTATCCTTCCGAGCAATGTTTCCTGTTGAAAGCTCCACTTATGTTTATGTTATCTCCCTCCCGATATTTCTCGTGACCATTTGCAAGCCTTTTACGACAATGTTCATAAAAACATATCTCGTGGTGAGGATAAAGACGTATTCTTACTTGTTGGCGATTTCAACACCCCACATCTGAGTTGGTCGCCTAGTACTCATAGTAACGTTATGACTCCGGGTATTTCATCCGACCTTAAATCTAATTGTCTTGTTGATATTATGAATCTTTGTAACTTAGTTCAACTTAATTCAGTCTATAATGAGAATAACCGTCTCCTTGATCTCGTTTTATCAACAACAGAGAAAGTGCTCGTAACAACTACTGAGCCTATTACTCGATTAGATTCTCATCATCCCCCACTTAAAATTGTAATAATGAAAAATTTGAAATTAAAAACAATTAAACGTGCGCAACAAATACGATATAACTACCGCAAACGTAATTATTATGATTTAAAAAAGGATCTAGCAACTATTGATTGGTCTAGCTTATCGAATGAACCAGATATAAATTGTGCTGTCGATAATTTCCACACTATCGTAAATAAGTTAATTGCAAAACACACGCCGCTTGTAAGTAAAACCAATAACAAATATCCAGCATGGTATACTTCAGCATTAATAAAGTGTCTTAAAGAAAAAAATAAATATCATCGTCGTTTTAAGAAATATCATAATCCTAGGGATTACGACACTTTTGCATTGCTACGCACGAGATGTAAAAAACTCACGGAATCGGCGTATGCATCATTTATTACCTCCACGGAGGAGGGTTTATCGGACAACATAAAGATATTTTGGAATTTTGTTAGCAATTAAATAGGTAGCTCAGGTATGCCACAGACTATGACTCTTGGTACAGAGACTTCTTCTGACACACAAGGAATATGTGAACTTTTTTCTCGGTACTTTAGTTCAGCTTTCGATGTTTCTCAAACTGTCATCAACCAGGATTTAGTTACTAATGACACTGTAAGTTGTGATACTTTTTGTAATTACAGTATGTGTAATATGGAACTAAGTCAGGCCACAATATTGGACAAATTAAAGAAATTAGATATTCGCAAAGGCCCAGGGTATGATGGAATTCCCGCTATATTTTTCTCTTAATTGTGCAAGGAAACTGTGTGAACCACTAACATTATTGTTTAATAAATCCTTAAAGTCCGGTGCTTTCCCTGCCATTTGGAAATTGGCTCACATCGTACCCATTCACAAGTCCGGAAGTAAGTCGAACTGTGAAAACTACAGACCTATTAGCATTTTGTGCTGTGTTGCTAAGGTATTCGAATCTGCGTTATATGATCATTTTTATTCTCAAGTTAAGCCGCTTATATCCAACAAGCAGCACGGTTTTGTGAGAGGCAGATCAACAGTGACTAACTTGAGAGTACAAAAATTACTTATGTGAAGTTTTCGCCGTGGGTGGGCAGGATGATGCCGTGTACACCAATTTTACGAAAGCTTTCGACAAAGTAAATCATTCTTTACTCTGTAAGAAATTAGCTATGTCAGGAATTCATGGAAATCTACTACGCTGGGTTCATTCGTACCTCGATAACAGAAGCCAACTTGTCGCTCTCAAAGGTTTCATGTCATCACCTGTCACAGTTAAATCTGGTGTTCCTCAGGGTTCACATCTCGGTCCGTTATTTTTTATAATTTTTATAAACGATCTGATTTGCAAACTGTCCAGTCCTTGCCTTCTATATGCAGACGACTTGAAAATATACCGTGTGATACAGGACTTTTCTGACTGCGGTAAACTACAAGATGATATAGATTCAATATATGAATGGTGCCGGCTTAACGGTATGCACCTCAATGTTAAAAAATGTTTTGTTATAACGTTCACTAATAAGAGATATAAACAGACATATGACTATAAAATTAACGAAGATTTATTAGACAGGAAAACGGTAGTTAAAGACCTAGGTGTGCTATTTGACTCTAAATTAACATTTCGTGAGCACTATGCATACATTAAAAACAAAGCATTCCAGTTACTAGGTTTCATAACGAGATGCACTAAGGGCTTCAAACGGCCTCAAAGCTTCCTGACCGTTTATTGTAGTCTTGTTCGTAGCATTCTTGAATATGCTTGTGTCATTTGGTCTCCCTGCTGCACGGTCCATTCAGATAGTATAGAAAGCGTCCAAAAAAGAACTCTCAGCATACTTAGCTACAAATGTGGGTTTGCTCGTAATCTAGTTAGTTATATTATTACTCGACAAATTTAAAGTGACCACCTTACTTATTCGCCGTAAGGAATATGACCTTATATATTCACATAAAATTCTCCATAATAAGATTGATTCCGATTACCTCTTAAGTAAATTAAACTTAACTACAAAGCACAATCCCCGAATTCCTAACAAGACATTTTACCTGCAGACTTATAAGAATAATACTTCCTTTTATAACCCGATAGTAAGAATGTGTCGACTTTACAACGAGATATCCATGAAAAGCTCCGGCATGGATGTTTTTGACCCAAGATCCAGGACATTCAAAAGAGCCATGAAACAGTATACACTTATGCACACTCATTCCCTTTTCATATAGGTTTTAAGTTTCTTATTTGTATATTTTTATTTTTTTTTTTACTGTAATTATGTATGTTATAAACATTGCAAAGCGTAGAGTTGATCTCCTGTATTTCATATAAAAATGATGTGTCAACATATTTAGGATGACAATCTGGCACAAAACTGTTATATTTATATTATATTGTAATGTATTTTGATTGTTATCTGTTTTGTTGTCCATATAATAAATAAAATAAAAATAAAATAGATGCGCTCGCGTTATCCTACGACAAATCCGAAATAATTGTATTACAAGCACTGAACTCTTGATGCGTATACTCTATGGTCTGTACACTAAGATAGAGTCAGTACTACCAGAGGCGTACTTATTACTGTTACTGTTTATTAAATAAATGTTTTTCTATTGTATACTATTTTACTCTTAAGTTTATTGTAGTAAAATACGAATATAAATAACAAACTCAGGTTGAGTAGCAAATAATCTTTCGCTACGGCGTTTTGTTTTATAATGCCAAATTCTCATGCGGGTGTACGCCGCATGCAGCGACTTTTGATGTCGCGGCGGCGCCTTTGACAAGATTCGGCACGAGCCAAGGCGGCGCGACACAAAGGCGACCGTATCTAAGCGAACAGACTGTAGCTATTCCAAATTCTGGATCCACTCTTTACTTTCATATGCATATAAGACTATTGAACGTTGTCGGTTTATTTCAGGTTCGTGTTCATGGCGCTAATGGAGTACTGCTTAGTTAATATAATTCTAGATGACGGTGGTCGAAAACCCAAGGTATTGTTACATCATCACAATCACCATGATACACCCCACATTAACCACTGCTAAAAAAATCATACATGGTAGAGCCATGCTGCAGCTATATTCTGGTTGCAATACGGGTCAAAGTGCAATAATCGGTAAAAGTGCAAGTACCGCTCCCCACACTAGTTTTATTGTAAAGGTTGAATTAATATAATTTTTAACAAATTATTAAATTTTTATTGGAAAGTAATACCTGATTCCATTAATTATATAAAATAAGCTAAATGAGGCAAACATTTTAATTATTTATTAATTAAATAGGACCACCTCTATAACATTGAAATGCATACTGTATTCAAAATTTTTTTATAAAAAAACTAAATAATATTTTATTTTTATATAATAAGGGTGACATGCGGGCACAAGGTCGCAAACGAGGATAGATGTGGATGTCTATGGGCCAACCATAGACATCCACATCTATCCTCGTTCGCGAATCAAAATGCAGATGCGTTGCCACTCGTGAGGACTAAGATGGAATGCCTCCTTTCCAGTAAAATGGGTCTCTGCTTCTCTACACTCACCATACGAAACACAGCGGCATTAAGCTGCTATTTTACGCTGGTATTCTATGAGAGCGTGGTCCTTCCCGGTCGAGCCGACCGATTCGTGCTACAACTATACAATTAATATAGCTGCAGCATGCCTCTTCCACTTACAATTAAATAACAATTAATTAAATTAAACTTATTAATTAATTATGTACGCCGCTATCATATTAAATAATGCCAGACAGTTTTATGAATTAGGATACATGGCGTCATACCTATGCCTGTGGCTATACCGTTTACAGTGGATGTCGTTCTAACCCAACCGGCACTCAATGTAACCCAAAAAATAAAATATTAATGACTTAAGGTTCTCACAGTCAACCATTAGGCTAAGCAGAGATAAACAAACATATGGGAGGTAGTGCAGCAAAAATGAACAAAACGTTATGAGAAAAAAAAGCTAACGAAGTTTGAATATACCAGACCAGAGTAATTCTATACATATATCATACAAATGTATATATAATATAAAAATATTAATACACAAATACATAAATCTACTTAAATACATACAATATATAAATATGTACAATACAATATAAGAGGGACCCCGCTTGCTCTTTTCGAAAGCTACCTGTCAGAAAGAAAACAAAAGGTAAAGCTTCCTGGGTTCACTAGTGGGGATGCGGGGGTATCATCATATTATGGCGTACCACAGGGTAGCGTTTTGGGGCCAACCTTATTTCTAATTTATATCAACGACCTGTGCAGTATGACCATACCAAACGCTAAAATCCTGTCGTACGCCAATGACACGTCTGTGGTTTTTGCTGGTGAATCTTGGGAGGTTGTCCAGACTAGTGCTGAAAGTGGTCTAGCTCAAGTTGCTCTGTGGTTGTGCTAAATATCTCGGCGTCATTGTAGATCAGAGGCTATCGTGGTACCCACACCTGGAGCATGTCATCAGTAGGACTCGAAAATTGATTTGGATATTCAAAACCCTAAGACACGTAATACCAGATAATACTTTTTTTTTTATAGGAGAGGGGGCAAACGAGCATGCGGCTCACCTGATGGTAAGTGACTACCGCCGCCCATGAACAACTGCAACACCAGGGGAATCGCAGATGCGTTGCCGGCCTTTTAAAAAGGAGTACGCTCTTTTCTTGAAGGTCCCTAAGTCGTATCGGTCCGGAAAAATCGCTGATGGTAATCGATTCCACAAGGAAGTCGTGCGAGGAAGAAAACATCTTCTAAATCGCACAGTGGTGGACCGCCAATCATCCAGATGGTGTGGATGGTATCGGGAGTTCTGCCGCGATGTGCGTTCGTGAAATTTGGCGGCTGGGATTAATCCGGACAATTCCTCAGAGGACTCCCCATGGTAGATGCGAAAGAAAATGCAAAGGGATGCAACATCTCTTCGCAGTGCCAATGAATCGAGCCGATCGGAAAGGGCTCGGTCATCGACAATTCGAGCCGCTCTGCGTTGGATGCGGTCAAGTGGAAGGAGCTGGCACTGGGGAGCCCCTGCCCAGAGATGGGAACAGTATTCCATGTGAGGCCGAACTTGCGCCTTGTAAAGTAGCAGGCGGTGTGCCGGCATGAAATACTGTCCCGCTCTGCTGAGCACGCCAAGTTTTTAGAGGCCAATTTGGCCTTCCCTTCCAAGTGACCACGAAACTGCACGTCACTCGATATGTCGACTCCGAGGATACCGATACTGGCTGAGGCAAGAAGGGGAGTGCCTTGAAACTGAGGAGATACGACAAAGGGGTTCTTTTTAACGGTAAACGCGCAAACTTGTGTCTTCTGAGGATTAAATTGGACTAGATTTAGTCGCCCCCAATCCGAGACTTTGTTCAGCAAAGACTCGACTTCAGACACAAGTTTGTTCCGGTACTCAGCGACGTTTTCCCGAGAAATATTGGCACGGCCGGTGTATAGAGCATCACCAGTGCTGTCATCCGCATAGCAATGAATGTTACCAGTTAGCAACATATCATTGATATGCAGAAGAAACAGCGTTGGTGATAGCACACAGCCTTGTGGAACACCAGCGTTAATAGGCTTGTAGTCAGAGCATGCACCGTCTACAACGACCTTGATGCTCCGATCTGCAAGGAAGCTGGTGATCCAATTGCACAATTTCTCGGGAAGCCCATAGGAAGGGAGCTTCGAAAGAAGCGCTTTGTGCCAAACCCGATCGGAGGCCTTCGCAATGTCCAGACTAATGGCCAACGCCTCCCCCTTGGACTCTACTGCCTCCGCACATCTATGGGTCAGGTAGACCAGAAGATCACCAGCTGATCGACCCCGACGAAAACCGTATTGGCGGTCACTAATCAGCTGGTGATCCTCAAGGTACCGGATGAGCTGGCAGTTAATAATGGATTCCATTATTTTGGAGAACAAGGAGGTGATCGCGATAGGCCTATAGTTGGATGGGTCTGAGCGGTCGCCTTTTTTAGGGATCGGGTGGACAAAAGCTGTCTTCCATGAATTCGGGACTACGCCTTGGGAGTAGGAGTACCGGAAAAGACGCGTTAGGACCGGTGCCAACTCCGGAGCACACGTCCTCAGCACAATTGGGGGGATTCCGTCAGGCCCACTCGACTTCTGGATGTCCAGGGAGAGCAGTGCTTTGCGAACCGAGCGCTGTGAGAACAGCACATCCGGCATGGAGCACTCACACCGTGGGATGGTCGGCGGTGTTTTCCCCCCGTCATCAAGAGCCGAATTGGACGCAAAAAGGGAGCCTAAAAGGTCAGCTTTGTCTTTTGCGTCATGGGCCAGTGAGTCATCCTCCCTGTGCAGAGATGGTAGTGATGGCTTACAGAAATTCCCTTGGACAGCCTTGGCGAGAGACCAGAATGCACGGGTTCCCGAAGGAAGGCGAACTAGTTTCTCGCCAATTTTGCCTATGTGCTCTGACTTTGCCTTGGCAATAACTCTTTTGGAGGACCTGGAGGCGAAATTATACTTCTTTTTAAGTGTGCTGGTATTTACATCCCGAGTCACCGAAGCCACAGCCCAGGCTTGATAACACTCCTGCTTACTGCGTAATGCAGTCTTACAGGAGCGACCAAACCAAGGCTGAGATCTGCCTCCGATGGGTACCACAGATGATGGAATAAATAGTTCCATTCCCTGTAGCACCACATCAGTGACAGAGTCAGCAACAGCGCTGGGATCATCCGGCGAGAAGCAAACCCGCCCCCATGGGTAAGATGCAAAGAAGGACCGCATTTCGTCCCAATCCGCCGACCTGTAATGCCAAACACGGCGGCAACCTGCAGAACGCAACCGCGAAGGGAGCGTGAGTGGCACCACACTCCGGATCAGACAATGGTCCGAAGAGCCGAGAGGGGCATCGACGGAAACCTGATATCCGTCCGGATGAGAGGTCAGCAGAAGGTCCAACAGGGAAGGTGTATGATCCTCCACATCTGGAATCCGCGTAGGCGAAGTAACCAGTTGTGTCAGACCATATGCCAAGGCAAAGTCATAAACAGATCTCCCCGCATGATCGGTTAGACGTGAACCGAGCCATTTGGCATGGTGGGCGTTAAAATCGCCAAGGATCACGATCTCTGCGGATGGGACCTGTTGTAGCAAGAAATCTGTAGCCATTTGGACGTGGTCGATGAGTCGGTCTGTTTCGACATTACCGCTATGGGACCTATAGAGGCACCCGTAGACGCGCGGATGGTCGTCGCTGTCTACGCGTAGCCAAAGGATGGACAGGTCCGAACCTTCAAGACTGCCGAGGCGTCGAGAACAGATGTCCTCTCTGACATACACGCAAACTCCAGCCCGAGGCACAAAGGAATGCTCCAATTTGTACCCCGGGCAGGAGAGATACGAAATATCAGCCGGAGAGGAAACCTGCGTCTCGGTCAGAAAGAGCAAGGCCGGCTTCGCCGTCTCTAGATGGTAGTGGACGGCGTTTAGATTAGAGTGAAGTCCCCTGATGTTGCAGAAATTCACGGATAGCGTGGCAGGGGTCGCCTTGGTGTTCTTGCTCAGTTTGCCCCTAGCAGTAATGCTTTTGAGCGGAATTTTGCCCCCCCCCCCCCCCCAGAATACGCGGGGCAGCCTGAGCACCCACGCTCAGGATCGGAATAACATGGTCGTGGATGCTCAGCGAGGGATTCTCCAGGGGTGCTGGTACCCTCCTGGGGTAGTTCTTCGTGTAATTCCGCTACCATGTTGATGGGGGGGGGGGGGGGGGGAATTGGGCCTCCGGCCACCTGCACTCACCAGACGAAACGCAGAAGCAAAGCTTCTACTTCACGCCGGTATTCTGTGAGGTCGTGGTACCAACCCGGCTCGAGCCGGCCCATACATGCAACAGCAAAAACTGCTGCGTGGCTCTACCACTGTCAAAACAGTCAGACTCTCCCAGATATCTTCTAAACTAAATATACATATCCCTTGCACAATCTATCATAACTTATTGCATTCCGGTGTGGGGTGGAGCTGCAAAGACCCAATTTCTTAACTTGGAAAGAGCTCAACGAATCCTTCTTAAGGTCATGTATTTTAAAAAAAGACGTTTTTCCACTGAAAAACTGTATCAAATAAGTGGTCTACTCTCAGTTAGACAATTATACATTACTATGACAACGCTCAAAGTACACAAATCCCTGCCCTTTGACCCATGCATCTTGGAAAAGCGGCGAAAAGATGTTCTGGCTGTGTCCTCTGGTTCCAAAACAGTGTTTCATCATCATCATCATTACAGCCCTTCACAAGTCCACTGCTGAACATAGGCCTCCCCCAAAGAATGCCACAAAACACGGTCCTGAGCCACCTGCATCCATCGACTTCCTACACTTCGCCTACCGGTACGAGGCTGCCACTCGAGAACCTTTCTTCCCCATCGGTTGTCGGTTCTTCGAGCTATATGGCCGGCCCACTGCCACTTCAGCTTACTAATCCGTTGGGCTATGTCGGTCACTCTGGTTCTACTGCGGATATCCTCATTCCTAAGTTTATCACGCAGAGAAACTCCGAGCATAGCCCTCTCCATAGCTCGCTGAGCGACCTTGAGCTTCCTCATACGGCCAGCAGTGAAGGACCACGTCTCAGTTCCGTAAGTCATCACTGGCAACACGCACTGGTTGTACAATTTCGTTTTAAGGTTTTGAGGTATGTCTGACGAGAAGATGTGTCGTAGCTTCCCGAACGCTGCCCAGCCGAGTTGAATCCGTCGATTGACCTCTCGGTCGAAGTTGGACTTACCCAGTCGGACTATTTGTCCCAGGTAAACATACTCGTCAACAACTTCGAGCTTAGTGCTCCCAACAACTACCGGCATAGGTGTGACATGGACATTAAACATGATCTTTGTTTTGTCCATGTTCATCTTAAGACCTATCCGTTGGGAAACACTATTGAGGTCATTGAGCATAGTGCTTAGGTCCTCCAGCGATTCTGCCATAAGGACTATATCGTCGGCAAATCGAAGGTGAGTGATGTACTCGCCATTGATGTTGATACCGTATCCTTTCCAGTCCAGAAGCTTGAAAACGTCTTCCAATGCAGCGGTGAAGAGTTTCGGGGATATGACGTCACCCTGTCTTACACCTCTCTGCAATTTGATAGGTTTCGTACTCTGGTTCTGTACTCGGATAGCCATCGTAGCCCTACTGTACAAGCACTTCAACACTTCGATATACCGACAGTCAACTTGGCACCGCTGAAGGGACTGCAGCACCGCCCAAATTTCGACGGAATCAAAGGCTTTCTCATAGTCCACATACGCCAGACATAGTGGCAAATTGTACTCTTCGGACTTCTGTACAACTTGCCGAAGGGTATGTATGTGGTCTATGGTGCTAAAGCCCTTTCGGAAACCGGCTTGTTCGGGAGGCTGGAAGTCGTCAAATCTGCGCGCGAGACGATTCGTAATGACTCTCGAAAACAGCACGTAGACGCGGCTCAGAAGGGAAATCGGTCTGTAGTTCTTCAAGAGAGCGTTGTCACCTTTCTTGAAGAACAAGACCACCGCACTTCTGCTCCACGCCTCCGGTGTAATGCCACCATGGAGGACGGAGTTAAAGAGCTTCTGAAGGACTTCAAGTACCGGTCTTCCGCCCGCTTTCAGGAGCTCCGCTGTAATTCCATCCTCGCCTGGGGCCTTACCGTTTTTAAGGTGCTGGAGAGCCATCCTAATCTCGCTCAGACTGACATCCGGGATATCTTCGGAATAGTGTCGGATGAGACTCGCTCTTGGATCGTTACTCACACTTGCGTGTGGCTCCAACGATGATGTGTACAGCTGCCCATAGAACCTCTCAATCTCACTCAAAATCTCAGGTGTCCCGGAAACGATGCTGCTACATTCTGTCTTCAGCTTTGACAGGTGGCTCTTTTTGGCAGACAGATCTCTGGCAAAGACTTTGGAGCCTTGGTTCCGCTCGATCGCTTCTTCAATACGAGCTGTATTGAAGTTGCGTAAGTCCCGCTGCATGCATTTGGAGATCTGTCTGTTCAGATGCCTGTATGCTGTCAAGTCTGTTGAAGAATGCAGCTTCATCTCCCGTCTAACAGCCATGAGATTAAGAGTGTGATCGGAGAGTTTTTGTGTTCTTCTGCGGCGGGTCTTGCAGAACTTAGCTCCGACCGCATGGACAGTTTCCACGAGCTTGTCATTCATATCGTCCACTTCATTGCAGTCTTCCAGGCACTGAAAACGGTTTTGTAACTCGAGCTGAAAGGTTTTGGGACTTTGGAACAGAGCACGAGTGGGACGGAGCGTTGACTTCATTAGACGAGACCTCTCCAACTTAACGTTTAGGTTCAGTGTGCCTCTAACCATTCGGTGATCGCTACCAGTTTTCACCCTCGCGATCACGGAGACATCACTGAACAGTTGTCGTTTGGTCGTTATAATGAAGTCACTCTCATTTTTTGTGGAACCGTCGGGGCTCGACCAGGTCCACTTCCTGTGGGACCGCTTCTGGAAGAAAGAGTTCATCATAAAGAGTCCCTCTTTCTCCATGAAGTCGGCCAGCTGCTGGCGCCTTGGGTTCCGTTGCCTTATTCCCAACGTCCCTACCCTCAGTTCGCCGTTTTCCCTTGTGCCTAGTTTTGCGTTGTAGTCTCCCATTAACACCGTATATTGGGTTTTGGAGGAATGCATGGCTCTAGAGATATCCTCATACATTTCCTCCACCTCCTCATCGGGATGTGCCGATGTTGGTGCGTAAACCTGTATGACCTTCAGCGAATACCGTTTGGTGATTCTGAGTATAAGGTACGCAACCCTCGTCGACACACTCCCGATCTTTACAACGTTGTTAACGAGAGACTTGTGGACGATAAATCCGACACCTCCTTGGGACAGATGGTCGCCCTCCCGGTGATAGAGCAAGTTGCCGGATTCGAGGATTACCGTGTCCTCCCCCTCTCTTCGGACTTCGGATAATCCTATAATATGCCAGCGCAACTTGTCTATCTCTTCTTCCAGCTCCACGATCTTCTCGTCAGTCCTCAGGGTGCGTGCGTTGTACGTTGCCAGGTCGAGTCGTCTAAGGTGGCAACCGAACCTCCACCGGAGATTCTTAGCACCCCCTGCCCCGCCGTTACCATGGTCGCCACCGTAGCCAGGAATAGCGGGGCCGCCGGGGACTGGGGGCCGTTTCTTTGTTACTGTCATTCATAGGGGGGTATTTGCCATAGTTGCCACGCTTGGCGAGCGGGTTGGCAACCGCAGTTTTTTTATTGTAATTTGGCTATTATCAGGAAGATGCTGCTGCCCATCTCCTGCCTGTTTCCCTTTGTCGCCTTTTACGACACCCACGGGAGGATATGGGGTAGTGGATATTCTTGACCGCCACTACACGGCAACAACAGTGTTTGCTAGTAGGCAATTTAGCTCCCGTTCTGCATTCCTATATAATTTAATAAATAGAGAATTAAACATATACGACAAAACATACAAGGTGTGTAAAAACCTTATACTAAAATGGGTGCAGTCGAAAACATATGACGAAACTGAATTTCTGATGTAACGCATTTCATAATTCACTGTTCTTTACGATATACAACATAATAATACTTTCTCTACACACACACACACACACACACACACACACACACACACTTGCATACATGCACACATATACTTTATTACTTTTTGTAATTATTGGTTGTACAAATAGAATAAATTAGTTTTTGTCATTTTTGGTTTGTTAAAATAGAGTAATTGGTTTGTCGTTTTTAGAATTAAAATGTATGTTTAGATAAGGAAGAGCAGGGTTTCCAAACACAAGCATTACTTGCTTAAATGGAGACCCCAATCAACTATCTAATTAATTTAAGTTTTGTGAAGAAAAATAAATTATTTTTATTTTTTTTATATATATGTGCCATGATAAATAAGGAAAATATGTGCCGATAGAATCACTCTTGGGTTTAGATCTGTTGCAAAGGTCAGCGATAAGAGTGCAATAGAGATTTGAGATTTGTATGTATGTAAGATTAACACAAAGTTTCTTTCTAGGAACCAGCAGAAGCAGCAAAAGCGAGACTACGAGCGCTGAGCATCGACCGCTTCTCCCGCGTTTTCTTCCCTCTACTCTTTTCTGTTTTGAACGCCACTTACTGGATCCAGTTCGCGCAGTACATCTGACTGCCTGGCGACGTTCTCTACCTTCTCATAGGTTACCTGTTCTAAGTTCGATAAATGCTGCATATACGTATACTTAAATATTAACCACCTTACTATGTCGTGGGTTTCCCATTCAGCCTATGACCTCATAGGTCTAGGTAGCGTTTATTAAAAATAATTTTAGAGGGTAAGAACGCTGGTATAATTTATAGACCGTGAAACATTACATTCTAGACCTCAAGGATATATTAACTATTACAAACCAGTTTTCAATAATGTCCAATCTCAAAGATGACAAGGTGCACTGACTTTTTTTATAGAAGAGGGGGCAAACATACATGCGGCTCACTTGATGGTAAGTGACTACCGCCGCCCATTAACAACCGCAACACCATGGGAATTGCAGATGCGTTGCCGGCCTTTTAAAAAGGAGTACGCTCTTTTCTTGAAGGTCCCTAAATCGTATCGGTCCGGAAAAAGCGCTGGTGGTAATCGATTATACAAGGAATTTGTGCGAGAAAGGAGACTTCTTCTAAATCGCACAGTGGTGGATCGCCAATCATCCAGATGGTATGGTTGGTATCGCGAGTTTTGCCGCGATGTGCGATGGTGAAATTGAGCGGCTGGAATTAGTCCGAACAATTCCTCAGAGTACTTCCCGTGGTAGATGCGATAAAATACGCAAAGACTTGGTTAATTAACGCCTATTCACCTTGCCTTGAATACCAATATTGAGATCAGATGGGAAGACGCATTATGAACATCGTAGCAAACCAGTGTCAGTTCAGTTTATCTCGGCTTTATTTGTTTGAAGTTAAACAGGTACAAGTGCCTGTTGTAGGTGAAAAAGATGGTACGATAGCAATAACCCGTGCTGTACTCCTGTGCTCTCTCAAGTTGTAATTTTTTAAAATTGGGAAAAATGGGTATGATTTTGTCTGACTTTATTATCAACTCCCAATTGCTTTCGACTAATTTTAGGTGTCAATTGGCTTAACTTAACACTTTTAATGTCCGATTTGCAGACACAATAGCAAGACAATAAGCAATTAACTATATGTAGTACACGGGACAGCGGATGGGTTAACATTGGCTTATTTGTCCCTCTAGTATCATTAAAAAATAAACAAAATTATGAGTCACTACTTTGCCAAACTTGAACTAAAACAAAACTAAAAATACACTTGTAAGACCCCTGATCCTATAAACAAGGATTATTATTCTAAGAATATTTTATTTTATTTTATTGGAAAACTTAAAACTAAAAATATCAAGTAATACATAAATAATTTAAAATTAAAAATTTTGTACAGCCGACTTCAATATAAGTTATTTAAGAATAACTTAAAAACTATTGGTCTGACCTTGATCAAATTCATATGGGACCACACGAGAAGTACCAGCTTTCAAATAAAAAAAGAATCATCGAAATCGGTTCACCCAGAAAAAAGTTCTGAGGTAACACACATAAAAAAAAAACGAAAAAAAAAAACATACAGTCGAATTGAGTACCGGCTCCTTTTTGGAAGTCGGCAGAAAAAATAGAGAAGAAAGGCCAATGTCATATATACGAGTATAATATATAAAGAGCAATTGCTGTCCGTTAGTCTTTTTGATTTTGATTATATTTTTGGAACGAAGAACGAAGAAGAAAGGCGACAAAAAGTGTTTCGTCACTGGGTCATAGTGTAGACGACCTTGGCGGCGAAATAAGGAAGTGAGATGGAATTATATCCATCTCCCTCGCACTTTTTCTTATCTTGCCATGAAAGAAATATTATTTTATTTCAAATGATGCTTCATTTTAATAGACGCTAGTGATTAATTTATTTGTATTTGTTAATCAATAATATAATACCTACGTTTATCAATAATAATATACTATGCAAGGAACTTCGTTCCAACCGAGTGTTCCACGATACTCACGCATGTTTTTTGTGTATAATTGTGTGGGTCCCTGGATGACAATTGGACCCGGTACGATGCGCTGTTGTCGAGATCTTACTTAAATATAAATAGGCTAGGTCTCACACGGTGATAATGATGTTGATTGTGCTTGCTAACATATATACCAAATTATACACTTGACGGGGTAATTGGTACAAAAAACTTAACGCATAAAGTTCGCTCTATAAAGTAGTTACAATATTTAAAACCTCCAATGCTGGCCACAGCTCTCCTATAATTTCTGAGAGGGCCTTATTCTGTGGCTGTGTTAGCTCACTGTTTTAAGCAACTGTTCACTGTTACTTTCACACGCCTGCACCAATGACATTTTTAAGAGTTGATTTACCACGTGCTCGGTTGTGAAGGAGAATCTCTTTAAGGAAACCTGCATGTCTTAAAAATTTCTAGTACTTGTTATTCAGTCCTGTAAGCTCGTAGGTCTCTTCTGTATATATATATATATAAAACAAAAAATCCCTTAATCACCTCTTAATACACACATGGGATGAAATCAGGTCAAAAATTCTCACATGCCGCCTTTTCACTATGTTTTAAATAAATAAATATTGTGACATATTTCAACCACTCAGCATATATTTTTGTTATGACATTTGTATATTTGTTCGTGGTGTACAATAAAAGTATATTCATTCATTCATTCATATATAATAATGCCAGAGAATATCCTACAACAAATATGTCTATTTTTTAACACCATACCAAAACCTGTAAACAGGTTTATTGCACAAATCCTATTCTGGTTAAGATTCAAACTCTGGAATCGACTTACCTAGCTGTAAAGTAGTAATCTTTTTAATTTTGGTCATAATATTTTTATGAGTTATACCTTGGTTGCAAATTCAACCGACTTCAAAAAAGTGGAGGTACTCAATTCCATTGTATGTTTTTTATACGCGTTATCTCATAACTTTTTTCTAGGTGAACCGATTTCGATGATTCTTTTTTTAGTTGAAAGCTTGTGTTTCTCATATGGTCCCACACAAATTTGATCAAGGTCTGACCAGTCGTTTTTGAGTTGGACTTAATAATTTATATTGAAGTCGGTTGTACAATTTTTTTAAATTTTACCGCTTGTATCAATTATTAGAAAAACGTTCCTTAATTGGATGCAGTTACGCAAAACTGGATCTATATTCTAGTCAAATACTCTCTCCCAATCCACACTCTAGTCAAAAGTATGTTATTTTGTATAAATTATCCTTAAGGTCTGTACTTTCATGCATTTGCACATTTATATCATTTCATCACCTTGCAAAAGTCGCAGTTATTATTAGGAATAAACCGTAGCATAGGTACACGTGGTACAGCCTCGCTGCAGCTACATTATAGTTGTAGCACAAATAGTTCGACTAAACAGCTAAAGGAAAGACCACGCTCTCACTAGCGTAAAATAGCAGCTTAATGCTGCTGTGTTTCGTATGGTGAGTGTAGAAAACCAAAGACCTTTTTATCTGGAAACAAGGCATTCCATCTTAGTCCTCAGGGTTGACTACGTATCTGCGTTTCGATTCTTCGCTCGTTTACGCCAACCTTATTCTATAAAAAATCAAATCTCTATCAAACGCCAATATCTCCATTGTAGTTTTTAATGGCTTGGATCGTTTTTGCATACGTTTCTACGTTTAATTATTATTTATTAAATTATATCTACAGTTCTTGAGTAGTTCCCTAGTGACGACCTGGTAAGACATGCAGGAAGTCGATGGATGCAGGTGGGTCAGGACCATGCTCTGTGGCATTCCTTGGGTGAGGCCTATGCTTAGCAGTGGACTTGTGAAGGGCTGTAATGATGACGTACCACAGTTTTTTAATACACAATACATCTGACATATCTGTGTATCTCGGCTGTTAAGGCTTAAGCTTAAGTTGCCTGCGACATATAGATAGTTAGACATTCCCGATAGCTCAATTCCAAATTCCTTAAAAAAACTGTAGGTGGCGGCTTCTTTAGTAATTAACGAATGTCGAATGAAACGAATTGTAAATCACTAAAGGCTAAGCATTCATTTTACGTGTCTGCATGCAACTAATAGGTTAGTTGTTAGTTCCTTGAAGCAACTGATTAAGCCATCAGACAGTGACGCTTACACCACGTTAATACTGTATGTGAATGTTAGAAAACTAACATCTCTTTAATTCACGTAACCAAATATTTGAGCATTATACACAATCAAAAGATTTATTCCCTAAAATATAGGTAAATACAAGCACATAATGACGTCAAACGACATTGTATATTATTTTGCTATTAGGTTGTGTTAACATATAAATATTTAATTCAATAGAATCCATATAGGGGATGGTTTAGTCAAAAAATAACTAACTCTAAGTGTACTTACGAATATGTAATGTAATTAATTAAGTTAGATTTATTCAGTTTATATGTATACAATTGTTACAGACTAATTCTGTTATTACAAATTTTAAATAAAAGTTATTAATATCAATTTTTAAAATGTTCCAAATGAAATCCTTATACAGTTATGTATTTTTGTTTTGTTTGCGTTGTATTTTGACTCTGGAGCACAGCCTTCTCTGAGTGGGAACTGCTCTCGGTTCGCAGCAAATTTTTGCCCAGTAAGTTTCTTTAAAATACATGAGCTATTAACCGGCTACGAGCTTACTTAAAATCGTGTTTTTTTTTTTTCTTTAAACTGTGTTCTTAAACTTTTTTTATTTCTAAATTCATTTGACCCGCTTATATGAAAAAAATGAGCTTTGGAACATTTTAAAAATAGACATGATATGCTTCTTTAGTACCAGATTATAAACAAATTATGTGGTATATATATTCCAATGTATCATAAACCGTTTTCACAAACAAATTAAAATAGTTATATAGTTATTTTTTGTGCAAGCAGCTATCAAAGTATGTAAAATATGTAAAAATCTTTGCGCCTAATACGCCTTATTACTAAACGTGATTTATTGATAGTCTTTGGTTTAAAAAGGACAACTGCAGATCCGACTGAATAGCCTAAGTAAAAAGGCATAATTCGAGGTTTGGCTCTATACCATTTCCTGCTCCAATATTGGACCAATTTAAAAGAAAA